TCCAACCGTTCCCCTACCCCTGCCATCCCACCCCCAAACCCCGGCCCTCAGCACCGCCTCTGCCCGGCTGTTAAATCCCCCCAGGGCTGGGGACTCGACCCCTTCCCTGGGCAGCCCCTTCCAGCCCCTGACAGCCCCAAGGGGAAGGAATTGTTCCCCATGGCCAACCTCACCCTGCCCTGGCACAACTTGAGGCCGCTGCCCCTCGTCCCATCGCCCCTTCCCTGGGAGCAGAGCCCGACCCCCCCGGCTCCCCCCTCCTCTCAGGCAGTTGTAGGGAGCGATGAGGGCTCCCCTCAGCCTCCTCTGCTCCAGGCTGAACCCCCCCAGCTCCCCCAGCCGCTCCCCAGCAGCCTGGGGCTCCAGACCCCTCCCTAGCTCCGCTGCCCTTCTCTGGAGATGTTCCAGCAATTACAACAGCGACCTTCCAGACACTTCTGTTTGTCTCTCCTTTGCTTCCATTAGACAGGCATCTCCCTTACATGCCTCCAGCTTTAAATTAAAAGCAGGTGGACAGGCTAGGACTACTCTGTACCGAAACAGAGCATCAAGTCCAGGTTCTATTTTTCATAACTTTGGATTTATCCTGGATTACTCTGGATTTACAATTTATATAACTTCTATGAAGTTACACCAGGTGAAGTTCTACCAAAGAGCTGTAGTGGATGAAGTCATATCCAATGAGAAAAGTTTTCTCCCAGCGTCATCAACACATCAGTCATCATCTTTAATGATATGTTGCAGCAATTACTACATGTATTTAATCTTGCCCTTGATGATGGCTGTCACTAAGTTCTTGATGAGAAAGTGTGAATCTTTATAACTTTTCAAGCTTGTTTACTTTGGAAATTACTCCAGAAGAGCAATTCCTGTTAACGTAGCAAGTCACCCTTCTCCCAAAATAAATACGATATTTATAAGGTGGGAATAATTAATTCTATTTGCAAAATTAGATCATGATCACCTGTCCTTCAGAGTAGTTATGCTGTTTGATGTTCCCCCGTTACTGCAACAGAAGCAAACTTCTGTCGCAGGTGAGGTCCAACATGGACAAAGACTGCTCTGGCTCCAACAGCACAATTATCGCTCTGACGAGCGGGGGAAGCCACAGCTCTCGCCCTCTGTTCTCGTGGATGAAGGTGGATGAGTTATTACCGGCATTGAGAGGAAAGTTGCTCCCAACTATCACCTCTCCACGGCAGAGGCTTTAGACCTCTTCTTCTGGTATGAAATCAGAGCAATGAGGGACAATCCTCACATTAAGATATCCTTTTTTTCCCTGGCAAAATTAACGAGAGAGTAAATTAAGGGCTTACAAATCATTTTGCCAGATACCTTTGGAGCCATCTGTAATTCCCCTCCCGCCAGCGGCAGCTTTAGAGCTGAGCTGTGCATCTGCTTTGCAGTGGGTTGCGTGCAGTAATGGTACACACCACGGTTTTGAAGTCCCTGCTGTCAAATCAGAAATTCAGAAAAAGCTGAAGGCAACTCCTCGGAATAAAGCTGCGAGGACAGAACTAACCTGAAATGTGCAAGTGCAAATAAAACTCATAGTTCATCTCAGATGCGCTCAGCATGTTAATGCCTCAACTGTTCTGTTCATTTGCTGCTTCCTTTCAGTGCCCGGAGGCATTCACTATTAAGGTGCCATTAAGACCTGAAGTCTTCAAATGTTACAACATTTGTTGAAGAACGGTTCTCCAGGAAAACATGGCTCTGAAATTTCTAATTACTCAGAAACCTAAGCTAAGGACTTTGCTCTTTGGCATCAGGTTTATGAACAATTTCAGACACAGCCTCTGTGGATCCTGGACACGGAGCCTTTACGAGAGTTAAAATCTGTAATTTCCATCCTCCTGGAAACTAGCGTTCCCAATTGCACTTGTTGCGATCAACCACTGGCATGAGGCTCTCGAGACTGGTTAGCCTGGAGAAGAGAAGGTTGAGAGGGGATCTCATCAACACGGACAAATATCTCAAGGGTGGGGGTCACGAGGACGGAGCCAGACTCTTCCCAGTGGTGCCCAGCACCAGGACAAGGGGCCATGGGCACAAACTGAAGCAGAAGAGGTTCCAGTTGAACGTGAGGAAGAACTTCTTGACTGTGAGGGTGATGGATCCCTGGCCCAGGCTGCCCAGAGGAGCTGTGGAGTCTCCTTCTCCGGAGATATTCAACCCCCACCTGGACGCTGTCCTGTGTAATATGGTCTAGGAGAACCTGCTTGAGCAGGGGGGTGGGACTGGGTGAGCTCCGAAGGGCCCTGCCAACCCCTGCCACTCTGGGATTCTGGGATTCTGTGAGATACATAGCAGCAATACAGCCATGGAGCGGGGGAGATGCACAACTGACACCTGCTCAGCCAGTAGCAAGCCCAAGGAAAAGAGCAAAAGCCCAGGAGATGCCCCAACAGGGAGCCAGCTTGGTCAGAGGCTGTAGCTAAACGCCTTGTTACCCTCCTGCAAAGCATTCCCACACAACTGCTCGAGTATTTTCATTTGGACCAATTACATCTGAAAGAAAACACTTTTGTTGAGATCAGTGTAAGCACTCTATGTTCAAATCAATATAGGAACACACCAAATCAATCGTATAAAATCGATGGTTGAAAAAAGAATATAAAAGGGTTGATTTTTTCCTGAAATATTTTGCGGGCCAAAAATAATTAGCTTTCAACACAGTATTGAGAGAAGTGGTTGGGAGCACTTGGAGGACTTGTAAAAAGCTGTTTTTACTCTGCGCCCAGCCTTGGCCGAGATGCCCCTTCCTCTTCCCTCTTCGAAGTCTACCCATAACCCGTGACACGGGGGGAAAATGCGACTCCTGATACGAAAATCTAGGGAGTGATCAATGTTGAGAGCCATAAATCAAAACCTCTCCTTCAAATCCCCACGTGGGCGAGGAAAAAAGAAAACCCCTGAGAATGACTTCTACGCCGCGCTCCTGCGTAGCTCCCACCGCTGCCCGGCTGCACGCAGTTGCCCACGTTTTAAGCAAGAGAACAACGCTGTGATAGAAAAAAATAAAAAAATCCCCACGGTTACGTCTACGGACCAGAGAAGGTTGCTGCTGGAGGCTCACCTGTTTTATTAGAGAGTCGGAAGGACACCATCTTGTCGGGGATGCTGCAGACATTCCTCACCGAGGCGATGCAGCTGTAGTTGGCGTAGTCCTGTGGCCGGAGGTTCTTCAGCTTCAGGATCTTTGTTTCTCCCTGCGTGCACAAGAGAGAGCGTTACGAAGGGGCTAAGCCAAGTGAACAAGCAGGGACACCAGGAACGCCGGGACTGGCTTCCAGGGGGCAGGAGGAAGGTGCGGGGGTGGGTAATTAGAAGCAGAGGTTGAAGTGGTCCAGAAAACATCTTTTATTTAATTACCTGAAAGAATGGTGGCTGGCATAACCTAAAACCGTAGCCCCATTTATATATTAAAGGCAAAAGCAAAGAGAGCAGGGAAGGGGAAAGGGCTCTGCCGAGTCTTTCAAGTTGTGGCATCATTCAGGGTAATATATCATAGAATCATAGAATCATAGAATCATAGAATCATAGAATCATAGAATCATAGAATCATAGAATGTTTTGGGTTGGAAGGGACCCCTAGAGGTCATCTAGTCCAACCCCCCTGCAGGAGCAGGGACACCGCTAACTAGATCAGGCTGCTCAGAGCCCCGTCCAACCTGGCCTTGAATGTTTCCAGGGATGGGGCCTCCACCACCATATCTTAAGGTACAATCTACAGGATGAAACAAAAAAAAAGGCAAGCTGCAGAAATCCTGCTGTTTTCCTTTGAAAATGAGCTGCTGATGGGTTTTATTTTTAGCTGGCGGTGTAAATGACGGAGCAGGGACCTGAAGGGGATACGTAATGAAGGAGTTCCTTCAGGCACAATTGAGAGAAAACTGGAAAATATGAGATTTCCACTGTAGCATGATGCGAAATAGGCACCGCAGAACCAGAAACTCCAGAGAAAGAGCAAGGTGCTGAAATATGTGTGTAAAATCGTACGGTATTGTTAGCAACGAGAGCAACAAGAAGCTCAAAGGAGCATTCGATACAAACTCCTGAGCACGCGGAGATGGCACGGGACAAAAAGCAAAGCACACCGGAGTGTCAGGCGTGAGGATGCTATGGCACGGAGGGCTGCGAAAACATGTGATTGATCTATACACATCCATACCTGCATGTTATTCACTCTAGCATTAAAATAACAAACTTCCTCAGGCTTTCAATCTCCTCCTCCAGCTGCCCGCTTTCAAGTCTTTGCCTGCCTTTGTAGTGATAAACTAAAAATGTATTAGGCTTAGACTAGGCTAAGGCAGAGCCCCAGCCCAAGGAGGCAGCCACCCTGAGCAGACTCACAAGGGATCAAAAGAGCAAACTTTGGAAAATGTTCATTACCAGGTGTCCTGTTAAAGCTGAACAACTTTTAATATTACCACAGCTTGAGCAACGTATTTAAATTTAGTTAACAATATTATGTGCACCAAATGTCCAGGCCTAGACTAGCAAATATATGGTAGTTGGTGAAAATACATGTACAGAAGGAGGGGAATAAAAAAAAAAAAAAGAGAGAGAAGATACAGCCAGCCAGCCAAGGAAAGAAACAGTCATTGAAATCAAGCTTGGTAGATGTTTGTAGCATTGGAATTGAAGCGCTTTGCATGTGCAATCAGTCCTACAAAAACTATGTGTTTAAAATTAAGCACATGCTGATTTAGTGTTTGCAAGACCAAGCCTTTGAAAGGCTACTCCTAAAAAAGATCCCACTTGAAGAAGAGGTTAATCTGGGCTAGAGAAGGGCCCGACCCAGGTTAGCAGGAACACGGCTACCAAAGCCGTTGAGTTCTGGAAACGCAGAACAGCTACATCCCAGCGACTCAGTCCTTAGCTCTGGACGCCAAGCTGCACTTGTGGGCTGCACTCACAGTGCTATCTGGATCATGTCCCCAGATTGCAGAGATTTAGAAAAATGTATATATTTTCTCCATTGGTTTGGATAATTAGTCTAATTATGTCTAATTGCATAATTATTGTAAATACAGCAACTTTAATCTTGTACTCAGGCTGTGCAATTACAATGTGCAATGAGGATGATGCAAACTCGTTGGAAAGAAATCTGCACCAAGATTTGGGTTTTGAAAAGTTCAATATTTCAAATACTCCCAGAGATGAGAACGTGCGAGTTGGTTCAATTTTTTTCCTCATGGCAGCTAAAATAAGGAGCTAACATTACCTGACTCATCAAAAACCCAAAATCTGTTCAATGTTCAAGAATTCATTTGTATGTGCCCAGTTTTCCAGGTGCCTTCTATGATTTAATAGAACAACAACAACAAAAAAAAAACACCGGAAGGAAAAACTAACCATTTTTTGGCTACACTACCTTAGAAAATTTAATCGTGTTACTATTTGCTTCCCTTTACATTTAATTTGATTTTCAGACTGATAATCCACCTTCAAAGCAATCACCAAAAAGTGCCACCTCGAATTCGTATCTCTTGATGCGCTGAAGCCAAATCCCCTCTATCCCTCCACACGTCCACTCCTCCTGCTTGCTACCATCTCATGAGCTCAACCAATTACGCAGAGATGTGTCGTAGACATTTATGACTCTTGAACCTTTAATTACATCTTTTCCTCTCATAAAAATCTATCAGATCTTGTAGGCACACCAACAAGATACGCTAATTCCACCTGACCTCCAATATATGTAAAAAGGTTATGGATAAGCATTTGACTGTCGACATGACAGTCTGATTTACTCATTAATTCAGCCCAGACAGAGGTTCTGGGAAGAATGCTCCTAGTACCACAGAAATATATATCTATATATCTATATATCTATATATCCATATATCTATCTATCTATCTATCTATCTATCTATATATCTATATATCTATATCTCTATATAACTATATAGAGATATATAAATATTTATTTATTTATTAGTAAATATTGAATCTAATTTCATGTGATGCATTTTATTAGACACGTTCTTGTTAGACGATAGGGAAAGTAATCATCAGCATTTCCACATTGAAACATAAACCAAAAATCCCATGTCAAGGGAGTCTCTTACTTTTTATTAAAACATTACAAACCTCCTGTTTGCACACCCGAGTCCAGGGAAACAAGCCACAGATCTGCTAAACTGGGCCCCAACATGTTAAATTAAAAATAATCTCATCACATTTAGGAAACCAATAACTTGACTATGTAATCTAATTCTCATCTCTGCAAGGTTCCAGGCTACATGTTTCTCAGTAAAATACCAAAGCGCTGTAGCAATATAAAGCTGTCAAGTACAATAAAAAGAAAAAATGAAGGTGCTCTCAAATCATTAGCTGAAAATTATTTATGAAAGTTGCAGGTCGCTTTCTGCTATGAAGACCAAATTACCAGGCAGTTTTCACCTCTGTCTTTACTCGTTATTGCTTGAGCCGTCCCAAAACAATTTCTTCTCCTTTTTTTCTTTTCTTTTTGCAAACACCGCCACACACTTTTGCCCATAGACGACGGGATATGCCACTTTGTATTCTGAGACGGCGCAAACGTGCTAACGATAAATTAACCTGATCTAATCTGACAGACTCTTCTGATGGCCCAGTCTGCCTTCGTGGCTGTGAGCGAGGGAAGGAAGACTTAAAGACTGAAAAAACCCACTTCTTTCCAGCTTTGCCACCGCCTCTTTTAAGTGTGTAATTCTGGGACAGCAACTTATATTCAAAGAAGTGAAAGGCAGAAAAAAAAAATAAAAACCACCTAATAAAATAAAAAAACCCCCTACCAACAACAGGGAGAGTTGCCATAGAGTTCAGCCTTCCTGAAAAGCTTTTTAGGCCATAACTTCTGTGCAGGATCACTTTGCATTGTATTGGAAAAGGTTAGGAAACTGCAGTGAAGCCAGGGGGTTGGGTTTGCAGCACCCAAGCAAAATGACTTCAAAGGGGCTCCTGCAGCGAGCGCTCACCGTGCATCCGCACATAATTCCTAATTTGCAATTTTCACAAAAAAATTAAAAGACTTATTTTATGTTAGGAAGTCTTGTAATAACATAGGGCTGCGTTTGTGCCAGGGTGTAGTCAGCGGGAGGGCATGCCCAGTGATCCACACCACCAACCCAGCAGGGATATGCAGGCACATCCAGTTGCAAAGAATCTGCTGCAAGTGGCCTAAGGAAGGAGGAAATACTGCGCTTTCATTCCTACCTGGGTAAAGAAGGGCTCGTAGATCTCCACTCCTTTATCAGACCCTTGCAGCAACACCTCTTGGCCGCGTCGCCAGCTGTACCGAACAGGCGGGTTAGAGTTGGCAACGCACCTGAGAAACACCGTTCTCTCATAGTAAAACTGCTCTTTTGCTTCCCCGATGCTCTGGTGGACTGTTACTATCGGATCGTCCAAATCTGGAAAGACAGAAGGAAAAAAAAAGCTGGGATTAAGTCAAGCTTCAGTTGAGCTTACGATGGCTCTGCAACGGGAAGCGCGTGCGTCCCCTTGTATACGAGTCAACAGCAAAATAGGGGCAACACAGCTCTACAAGCCACAAATGTACGGTTTAGGACTTCTGCAGCAGAATCCAGGTTTAGAGTTTGTTTTCACCTGTAGAGCACCAAGCACAACTGGATCTTTATTTACAACTCAGGGTTTTCAATGTAACAATATATAGGAGATCATAGAGGACAAAGTCGATCGTATTTCTGTTGGTTCCACTAATATTTAGGTTTCACCTGTACTGCTTTAGTACTTGTTTCATAGATTCATAGAATCACAGAGTGTTTTGGGTGGGAAGGGACCCCCAGAGGTCACCCAGCCCAACCCCCCTGCAGGAGCAGGGACACCTTGAACCACATCAGGTTGCTCACAGCCCCGGCCAACCTGGCCTGGAATG